AAGAGAAAAATTAAGGTAAATATTCGAAGGTATTAAGACCAAGATGGTGTGGCTTTTTTTGTGGTCGCAGTCTCCTTTCGTTATATAGAAGTTGCTTGACCTCGTTTTCGCAAACTATGTGAAATTTGTAGGAAGACTTAGAGGAACGCATCTAGTCCGGAGTCCATTGTATGCATATTTTCCGAAATCGGACCACGAAGGTGGTACATTTACAGAAGTTTCGCCGGCATCGTCAGTGAGTCTTGTCATCCTTAGCACCATACTACAACTCGTCAAAGGGACAAGTGAAGCCGATCCTTTGACCAAATGTGTACTAAAAGGTCAAAGTATCTCTCCTTCTGTCCTGAGTTATTTACCTCTCTTATATCCTCGTATCACACCTTCACTATCACAATTTCTTTACTTACTTATTTAAATCTAGTGTAGTGCCCTTTTGAGCTGCTTCCATCAGAACCCTCCACACTCTACACTGGCGTTCTCATCTATCTTTACCCTTGTATTCATAATGTTGATCAGAGTCTGCCATATTGTTACACAGATAGTCACTAATTAATTAATAAAAATAACAAACAAGAACGAAGGCTAGAGAAAATGACAAGGTGGCAGTCAATAATAAATGCTAAAAAATTGTTTACCGTTCTTCTGGGGAGAAATCAATCATTTTGACAGAAATGTGAGGAAAACGGCCTATTTTAGAAAATTTTTCGCCACCCCAAAGTGCAATTCCGGGCTGATGTAGAGTAGCCAAATAGGTCCCTCTAGGCGACCACTTCATCCAACCCTCGGACCATCGATTCCTTGTCTCAATTAATATGGGTTCAGAAGAGGTGTGCCAATAAACTGCCCCAATTTCTCCATCTCCATGAGCTACTGCAAATTGATCTCGACAATATTCATTGAGCAACCAGCTTCTTAGATCCCCCTGAAGAACATAAATCAAAATAATATTACGTGATCACGGTATTCTTGTTTAGGTGGTGGAACAAAGACATCTTTGGCTGCCAAAATAGAGTCTAACTCAGTAAGCAAAGAAACTTGAAGAGTATGACTTTTGTCAAGTGGAAAATTTTGCATCGACCTTAGTGCCTTAATCGCCGAATGCGGCTTCTCAAATGTAAGAAAAGCGTAACCAGCGGTGTAGTCATTTGTGTCTAATGGAAAATAGCTCTCGACGATATTCCCGAAAACGGAAAATTTTTTCATAAACAGTTCTTTAAGGAGGTGAAATTTTTCGGGAGGTGCATTTGGGACACCGTCAACGATTATTGTACATTTTTCGTTATCTTCTAACTTTGGCTCAGCAGCAAGCATTTCTGGAATTAAGTCTTTTGGGGTTAATTTTAAACAATAAGTACCAGCATCTTTAAGGGAAGCCCAGGCTGGGGAAGGCATGACTAGACCAATTGGACAGATCCGAATGGACCGCGCAAACAAGTGCTCATCAAAAGAGTATCAAGATAACACGGCAGTGTTATTGTTTAATTTACCTTATCATACAAGTAATTATAAGATCTTTATCTTTGACGAATTACAAATATTAATGCGATTTTTAAATACGCAGCGCCTAAGCTAACTTCCTTTGACAAAGAATTCTCTTGAAATAATTTTTCATTTTATAAGCAGAGTTTCAAGACTACAAGTAAATAAATTAGAGAAGATGCATTCGCCCTATTTCCTTTAGAGTAATAAGGGACTGGTAGTAGAATTTTTCCATAATTACATGGGTATAATTGACGTTTTTAATGCATTTAGCATAGACTTTCTTTCGCAAAAGTTGTTCTCATCAATTGTAGATTGGAGGTTTGACCTCGCCTAGGTCTTATTCAGACTTAAAAAAGGAGTTAGGCACGTTAACGACTTAGCCACATTGCAATGAGTGCCTTCGAAACTCTGACCATAAAACGGAAAATAAGTATTATAGTCGATTGATA